AGACCAAACTATCTATCTCACTCGCTTTCACTTGAATATATACCGCCTCGCGGTCGCACCTACGGCAAGCTTGCAACTGCCTGCTAGTGGGGTGACATCTTTTGATAGTCTCACAAGTAACATATGAATTTCAGCTTTTACACTAACGAAAGTTTAACTCTAAATTTTAATTAAATAAGCTTCATGAGTGCCAGGCAGAGAGTTGAAAGGCAATGGATGAGGCCATTCTGAAAGAAGTATAAAATAACTGGGATCTATACTTCAGAGAACTTGAGTTACTATTTTAGACAAATTTGCTAGCTGTTACCTGCCAAAGTAACCACCAACCAGATTTCATAATCGCTGATTGTTTTTACCTCTGTTGGGAACATGCACAGAGAAACTTTCAGGTTTTATGAAATAACGAAGGTCTGGCCGTAGCGGGCCCTTACTCTATGAGATACAGTCTCCGACTTGGAAATTTTAGATAAGATAAAGGAGAAATATATCGACATCTGCTTATGTGAAAATTCACCATGTTCGATCTCATCGATTGTAACTTGGATTCCTGACATGAACTTTTATTGCACCAGAATATGTGGAATGCAGTCTCCAAATTCCACAGTCAAAACATCATAAGATAAAGGGAAACTGTCGAAAAGGTCTCCAGCTTTGAAAATTCTCCATTTCTGCAGCACAGTTTTATCGAATTTCGGACACGGGGCTTATACTTTTGACTTAAGTTGCACTTTCGGTGTCCGTGAATTTGTGAGATACAGTGTCCGAATCGAGAAATGCATTACAACGATAGAAGAGAAAATAGCGAAAAGGTCTGTTTCTTTGGTAATCTCTCATGATCAATCTAGGCCCATTCTGGGTTACACAATGCTATAACTTAGAGAAGTGACTTAGTTGGTAGTTTATGTACACTACAATGTGTAAGGTTCAGTCCGAATTGAATAATGTAGATAAGAATAGAAGAGATAATACTGATATCTGTTTAGCTGGAAGTCTTTATGTTCAGTCTAAGCGATTTTGAAGCTGCAACTTCTGTGCACCGGAATACGTGAGATGAAGTCATCAAGTTGGGAAATGTAGATAAGATATAAGAGAAAATTTCACAAGTTATTTGATTTTCCTTTATAGCTGCAACACAGTCTCACCGGATTTCGGACAGAGATCGATACGACTGAGATCTATGACTTAAGTTGACCTTCGGTTTACAGGAATCTGTGAGAAGCTGTCTCCGAAATGATAAATGTAGGTTACGAGAAAAGAGAGAATATCGAAGCAATGTATGTCTTTAGTAAGCCATTATCACTTTAACACAGGAATATTCAAATTCACCGACTTTTGCATACCAGAATGTTGTAACTATATATTTGACTTAGTTGCACTTTCTGCATAGCAGAAGATGTGAGACACAGTCTTCAAACCAGAGGAAAACAATGTCAAATTGAGAGAAGGAAAACATTTGGCGTATGATATCCAGCTTCACCGACAGTTGCGACCCAGGATTGTGCATTCATATGAATAATTTTAGTTGCCACTTTTCTGTACCACATTCTGAGATTCACGGTCTTCAAATTATGAATTATAGAACAACTGTGGACAAATATGTTTCTTTTGTGATTCTTCATTGCTGTTATACATAGTCTAACCGACTTTTGCGTACCAGAATGTTGTAACTAGATATTTGACTTAGTTGCACTTTCTGTATAGCAGAAGATGTGAGACACAATCTTCAAACCAGAGGAAGAAAATGTAAAATTGGAAGAAAGAAAACGCTTTGCGTATGAGATCCAGCTTTACCGACTGTTACGACCCAGGATTGTGCATTTATATGAATAATTTTAGTTGCCACTTTTGTGTACCACATTCTGAGATTCACGTTCTTCAAATTATGAATTATAGAACAACTGTGGACAAATATGTTTCTTTTGTGGTTCTTCATTGCTGTTATACATAGTCTAACAGACTTTTGCGCACCAGAATGTTGTAACCAGATATTTGACTTAGTTGCACTTTCTGGATAGCAGAAGATGTGAGACACAGTCTTCAAACCAGAGGAAAACAATGTCAAATTGATAAAAAGAAAACGCTTTGCGTATGAGATCCAGCTTCACCGACTGTTGCGACCCAGGATTGTGCATTTATATGAATAATTCTAGTTGCCACTTTTGTGTACCATATTCTGTGATTCACGGTCTTCAAATTATGAATTATAGATCATACTGTGGACAAATATGTTTCTTTTGTGATCCTTCACTGCTGTTATACCTAGTCTAGCCGACTTTTGCATATCAGAATGTTGTAACTAGATATTTGACTTAGCTGCACTTTCTGTATAGCAGAAGATGTGAGACACAATCTTCAAACCAGAAGAAAAAAATGTAAAATTGGAAGAAAGAAAACATTTTGCTTATGATATCCAGCTTTACCGACTGTTGCGACCCAGGATTGTGCATTTATATGAATAATTTTAGTTGCCACTTTTGTGTACCATATTCTGTGATTCACGGTCTTCAAATTATGAATTATAGATCGTACTGTGGACAAATATGTTTCTTTTGTGATCATTCACTGCTGTTATACCTAGTCTAACCGACTTTTGCATATCAGAATGTTGTAACTAGATATTTGACTTAGTTGCACTTTCTGTATAGCAGAAGATGTGAGACACAATCTTCAAACCAGAGGAAAAAAATGTAAAATTGGAAGAAAGAAAACATTTTGCTTATGACATCCAGCTTCAACGACTGTTGCGACCCAGGATTGTGCATTTATATGAATAATTTTAGTTTCCACTTTTGTGTACCATATTCTGTGATTCACGGTCTTCAAATTATGAATTATAGATCATACTGTGGACAAATATGTTTCTTTTGTGATCCTTCACTGCTGTTATACCTAGTCTAACCGACTTTTGCATATCAGAATGTTGTAACTAGATATTTGACTTAGCTGCACTTTCTGTATAGCAGAAGATGTGAGACACAATCTTCAAACCAGAGGAAAAAAATGTAAAATTGGAAGAAAGAAAGCATTTTGCTTATGATATCCAGCTTTACCGACTGTTGCGACCCAGGATTGTGCATTTATATGAATAATTTTAGTTGCCACTTTTGTGTACCATATTCTGTGATTCACGGTCTCCAAATTATGAATTATAGATCGTACTGTGGACAAATATGTTTCTTTTGTGATCCTTCACTGCTGTTATACCTAGTCTAACCGACTTTTGCATATCAGAATGTTGTAACTAGATATTTGACTTAGCTGCACTTTCTGTATAGCAGAAGATGTGAGACACAATCTTCAAACCAGAGGAAAAAAATGTAAAATTGGAAGAAAGAAAACATTTTGCTTATGATATCCAGCTTTACCGACTGTTGCGACCCAGGATTGTGCATTTATATGTATATGAATAATTTTAGTTGCCACTTTTGTGTACCATATTCTGTGATTCACGGTCTTCAAATTATGAATTATAGATCGTACTGTGGACAAATATGTTTCTTTTGTGATCCTTCACTGCTGTTATACCTAGTCTAACCGACTTTTGCATATCAGAATGTTGTAACTAGATATTTGACTTAGTTGCACTTTCTGTATAGCAGAAGATGTGAGACACAATCTTCAAACCAGAGGAAAAAAATGTAAAATTGGAAGAAAGAAAACATTTTGCTTATGATATCCAGCTTTACCGACTGTTGCGAGCCAGGATTGTGCATTTATATGAATAATTTTAGTTGCCACTTTTGTGTACCACATTCTGTGATTCACGGTCTTCAAATTATGAATTATAGATCGTACTGTGGACAAATATGCTTCTTTTGTGATCCTTCACTGCTGTTATACCTAGTCTAACCGACTTTTGCATATCAGAATGTTGTAACTAGATATTTGACTTAGTTGCACTTTCTGTATAGCAGAAGATGTGAGACACAATCTTCAAACCAGAGGAAAAAAATGTAAAATTGGAAGAAAGAAACATTTTGGTTATGACATCCAGCTTCAACGACTGTTGCGACCCAGGATTGTGCATTTATATGAATAATTTTAGTTGCCACTTTTGTGTGCCATATTCTGTGATTCACGGTCTTCAAATTATGAATTATAGATCATACTGTGGACAAATATGTTTCTTTTGTGATTCTTCATTGCTGTTATACATAGTCTAACCCACTTTTGCGTACCAGAATGTTGTAACTAGATATTTGACTTAGTTGCACTTTCTGCATAGCAGAAGATGTGAAACACAGTCTTCAAACCAGAGGAAAACAATGTCAAATTGATAAGAAGAAAACTCTTTGCGTATGAGATCCAGCTTCACCGACTGTTGCGACCCAGGATTGTGCATTTATATGAATAATTTTAGTTTCCACTTTTGTGTACCATATTCTGTGATTCACGGTCTTCAAATTATGAATTATAGATCATACTGTGGACAAATATGTTTCTTTTGTGATCCTTCATTGCTGTTAAAACCTAGTCTAACCGACTTTTGCATATCAGAATGTTGTAACTAGATATTTGACTAGTTGCACTTTCTGCATAGCAGAAGATGTGAGACACAGTCTTCAAACCAAAGGAAATAAATGTAAAATTGGTTGAAAGAAAACATTTTGCGTATGATATCCAGCTTCACCCACTGTTGCGACCCAGGATTGTGCATTCATATGAATAATTTTTGTTGCCACTTTTGTGTACCACATTCTGTGACGCACAGAGACGGATATAACTATATATGAGGAAGTATTAGAATATAGATTGACGTTCATCTGTTCAGTCTCACTGATTTTGATACTGAGAACCCTGTCACTGGATGACCTGTTACAGCTTCTTGGTACCATACTCCGTGAGACACAGTCTTCGAACCCAAGAAACGGAATGACGTTATAGAGGAATGTTTCTCGTGACAACGATAGCCGCACCAGCTTATGATACCTAGTCTGATCGATTGTAGATACACAGTGTGATGTAACTTTATGTACAATTTTAGTTACACATTCTGTGCACTACAATCTGTCACACATAGTCTTCGAGCTGTAGACAACGATGGAAGAGGAAATACCGGAAGGGTACTTTTTTGTAATATTTTATCGTTGTTATACAAACATAAATGTTTTGGCTCCCCAATTTTGGTAGAGACGTTGTATCTAGATCTAGGACTTCAGTTGCAACTTGTGTATATTAAAATTTTAGAGACATGGTCTCCGAACTGTCAGGAGAAAACATCGTTAGAAGATATTGCCGGCCCTCAGAGAGTGTCAACTATGTTCTAAATTTTAGGTACATAGGCTGCAATTACATGTGAAATTTTAGTGTACTCTGAAAATGGAAACAGCGTTAGAAGTAGTCAGTCTCACAGACTGTTTGTTGTCAATTTGTTTGTCTGCAATGTAAAAAAAACAATGTTTGAGCGATTTTTATTTTTCTTGTTTTTGACCTCTTTCTCTAACTGCCACTGGACCAATTTCAAAAAACTAGCCTTGATATTGTAGCAACATGTCTAAGAACTGTATTGGAATCCGAGCGGTTGTAAGATTAGCGGACAAACAGAGCGACGAAAATGAACGAAATGGTTTTTCGTGATCTACTATACATGTCATACGACTATAATATCCAAAATACGTAATGTCTTATTTTAGGTTAAATTAGTGCTTGCAAAGCCGGTAGATCGGCAGGCTGGTGGAGGACAAACATAAATATTTTTGTAAAAAAAATGATGAACTAAAATAAATATTGGAGAAGAATGAGAAAAAGCAGTAAATTTATTGAAACAAATGTAAAGCAGAGGGACCTTTTTGAAAAGCACTGGGTAATAGACCTTTCCGTAGTAGGCACATCTACAATATGTATGTTTAAATATAATATATAAAAAAATGATGAAAATTATTCTAGCTTACCGAAGTAGCCGCGCAGGCAGAAGCCTAAATCCCAGGACACCGCTCTGCTGTATTGTGATGGCTTCTTTGGTCCTCTGACAACTATAGTACCGGCTTGATTTTTTTCTGATTTCATATCACAGAAGATATCACTATTTCTTTTGTTTCAGACGAACATCTGAATTGTCAGACAACCCCTGTTTAAGTAACAGAGCTATATTTCTGGTCGGTTATGTACTGTTTGACGGAGGTAGTCCCAGAGTAGTTCGCATATTTAAAACGATGCTATTGAAATATTGTTAAATTAGAAACGCACCTGAAGAATTGTACACATTTTTGAAACTAAAATACAAAATTCTGGAGCGTCTAACTTGTGTAATGATGTAAACACAGAAACAGATTCTATCGTGATGTTTCACTACTAGATCTTTTGACAATAAAAATAGTTAAATGTTATTTAACCATTTTCATATGACCTCAGATTATCATGAACCTTACAACCATTTCAGATAGCGAGGAATAGGAGTATAGATAAATAAGTTGTTTGTTTGAAAATAACTTCTTTTTTAAAATCTGCGTCCATATTGAATGCGCGGCGACTAGAGCCCAGGCGGGCGCTGCGAGCGGCGGTGTCCACAGTGACACGCGAGCTCTTGTAATGGTTCGACGTATTATCAGAAGTTCCAAACTATGGACGACGATTTGATATTTTTACTAGACAGTCAGATTCTTAAATGCAGGGTCTTGAACATTCGAGATGGTGTGCACGAAATAAATAAAAACAGAGAAACAACTGTTGAATTTTTTCAGTTGTATGAAGAACTGAGTTTATACCCTACCAAATTTTTTAGTACACTCGAATGCCCGTTTGACTACATCCTAAGTGAAATATCTGTGCTGCGGATGTTTACTTTGCCAAATAGGTGGTTTAGATTAAATTGTAGGGAGACCGGGGCTGGTTGTCACATCGGTTGGTTGTCACAATTGTTAAATTTCAGCAGCTCCGCAAGATGTAGTTGCCTGGCGCGCTACACATCATTTCTGCGTCCGCGCAGAACACTTATATTCAGTACGAAAGTTGTCGTTGGTAGATTAAGGTCTGCACGCACAAAAATAAACAAATCGCCTAACCTGAGTAAATTTTTCGTTTGCCACATAATTTGTGTTTTCAAGACTACATGTTGAGCTCCTTTCCGCCAGATCACGTAAAACAGCCACAACGTGGCAACGCCGACGAGGAGAAGAGGAAGGGGTGGCCGCCATATTGCAAGATGACATGATCAAGCCGTCGACACACAGACACGACGCCGTACAAAACAATTATTGTTATTCAAATAATACCAGCTAGGATTGTAAAAGTAAAATAAAAGCCGAAAAAAATACAGTCCACTTCTCTACCAACACTACATTTGATAATAAAAAGAACTGTTGAATTTATTTTGTTCTTCAATAATCCAAATACGACTTAACGTAAGTATTGACTTTGAATTTGTTAATTTAGTGACGCTATCTAACCTTAAAAATTAATTATCTAGTGGGGCAGGTTGTCTCAAATTAGCGGGGGCCTCTTGTCACATGTGACAGCCAGCCCTGACACTAGACGATTAGCATTGCACATCATTCTACGCAGTTATATAATGTATTTTTTTAATATTTTCAGGTTACATAAGCATGGTTCGAAATTTCAAAAGGAAGACTGAGAAGGGCAAAGCGCCGCCTGACGTACTTTTAAGAGCTGCTAGGTTTGTGAGATTAGGATCCTCAATAAGAAAAGCGGCAGCTGACTTCAATGTAAATTACCGTACTTTAGCAAGATACTGTAAGAAAATTCCAGAATCTGAATTACTTGATGATCGAGTTGTTGCGCCGTCAATTTCAGTTGGCTACATCAAAAATCATTTAGTATTTGAGCCTGAACTTGAAAATATCATCTAGTGGAATATGTCCTCAAAGCATCTGATATTTATTTTGGATTATCACCCAAGGAAGTACGTGGACTTGCATATGAATTTGCTAATGCTAATTCCTTTAAAATGCCGGAAAATTGGAACCACCATAAAATAGCTGGTCCTGAATGGTTTAGCGCGTTTCTAAAACGTCATCCTGTACTGTCTATTCGCAAACCGGAAGCAACTAGTTCAGCAAGAGCCAGTAGTTTCAATAAAACGAACGTCAACGCATTTTTTGATAATTTAGCTTCAGTTATGGAAAAACAAATTTGAGCCTCACGAAATCTGGAACATGGACGAAACTGGGATTACAACTGTCCAAAGACCCGACCGCGTTGTTGCCAGAAGAGGATTCAAACAGGTTGGTTCGATAGTTTCATCAGAAAGAGGAACTCTTGTTACCTTAGCAAGTGCAGTAGTTATTGGAAATTCCATACCTCCTTTTTTCATTTTTCCACGGGTACATTTCAAACCACATTTTTTAAATTCGGCGATGAAACTGTAAGTCTGATAAATATCAACACACAGGAAGCAATAGATTATCGTTTCTACATAGTGTTCCCAAAGGATAAACCATATTAGTTATGCACCAAATATGTGCATATAACGCTTCAGATCGAATAAAAAAAAGAATTACTGAAAATTGTGACAACTAGCCCCGGTCTCCCCTACTTATAAACAATTCAGTATCCGCCATTACAATACAATAATACTCGTACTTATGCATATGCCGAGCGACAACACCGAACTGGTTTGTTACCGCCGCCACCGCAGGTTAGGTCGCTTACTGATTAGACCCGTACAGGGCCGTATACTACGCTGTTCAATTTTCGTACGCCGGCGCGCATGACGTCACGCGGAGAGTGAGTATCATTTGGGTTGATAGGGATCACGTGCATATTTTCACCTACAGGCCAAACGGCTGCCCGGATTTTCACATATAAGGTGTCGTTGGATTCGTCTTAGCGGTCTGAGTGACACTAGCTACATTGAGATTTTATGAAAAACAAAATGGTGGATTTTAATAAAAGATTTCAACCTTGTAATTCCTACTTCATAGGCTACTACAGATCAAACAGCTTGATAAATTTTCACATTACCTATATTTTAGTATGTTCTGCGGAGCAGGATTAACCTGTTCATGTCATAATACTGTACTACATTCACCCTTATTCCACAGAACATCCTAAATACATGTAAGTGTGAAAATATACGCCACTCGAAAAGTATAAAAATGGAGTTATCTTCTTTTTGCAGTAAGGTGGTGGTATAACAATAAATGGAAATGACTTAGTCTAAGCAATATTTTTTTTCCATTTCCTTTTACGATTTTTCTGGTTTTTTTAACTTTTATTCAGTTCTTTGACCCTGAAGAACATCCTTGACCTGAAAAACAGTTTTTTAGCTTTTTCAAGGCACTCAATGTTGCTGCTCTTCAACAGAAATTCACCTATAAAATTCTGCTTTTTTGTCACTATTCCGTCCCCATTGAATGTAGTGAATACCTTGTTCAGCTTCTCAATTTGATTCATGAAAGTTGCTGAAGGTTTTGATAATCCACCCTCACTAAGATGGTCTTTAAATGAATAAGTTTCATTTGAGGAACTTTTCAAACTCTCATCCTGCAATTTATTGCAAACAAAGCCGGCTAAATTTTCCAGCATGTCATACTCGAGCTCATCTATTTCTTCCACTAAAACTTGCTCGGTATAGTCAACTGATACTTCAGGTGCATTCAGTTTATTCTCGTGAATGATGCTTTTAGTGGTTAGTGGAATGTATGGAGTACCCTCTGACTCTACGCTGCAATAGGTACTGTGAGTATGCGCCTTCGTTTCGTCCCAACATATATGACCTTATTCTATACTTAAACTTGTATGGTCATGAAGACCATCTTTTAGCCTAATTACTCCGAAAAAAATTTCTATCACATCTTGATTAAGACGTCTTGTTAACAGGTATTGGACGCTGAAGCGTCGTTTCAGGTCCTCTAGAGCATTTTCTAGCAAACCCTAGCGCTTTTTACATTGACTATGTCTTATCTTTTTGAAATCTTTTCGAATGTGCGTTTCTGGTACATTGGAGTAACCTTACCCCGAAATCGGTTTCCTGAATGTTTAACATGAATAGGATCTGACTTGGGCGTTTAGCGTTATTCTTGTCACGTGCTTTGGATAAGTTGTTTTCTGAATTTTCAATGAGTGCGGATAGGCGTGAGTTTGTTCCATTGAGTTTCGAAATGAGTTTCATAGATTTGTGAGTCATTTTCTTGTTTGGTGATACCATAAATTAGATAGAAGGGGGCGAATCTAGTAATAGAATGAATACGTTGGTTATAAATAAGCAATGCATCGGTAATTAAATCTGAAGTTAGTACAGTAGGCGATTTTAATTTTAAGATTCTTAGTTTTTCAGACAACGTAGAATGGAATCGTTCAATAGGCAAACAAGAAGAGGGGGTTGGCTGTACTACCAATATGCAATTTAATAGCATGGGCTAGACCAGGGCTGTCGAACATACGGCCCGCGAACCGCATGCGGCCCGCGAACTCCTTTCTTGCAGCCCGCTTCACGGGTCATGTATACATCACATGTATAAATTACTCTCAAATACCGAATATGCACAATTCTTACATTAATGATAAAATAGATTATCATGTGACGCCACTGGCGACCGATAGCAGGCCGCAGCGAATTTACTGAAAATTGGACCGATCTCTCGATCATCCCCGAAGCGGGACAGGCAGTTTTGTTCTAGTGCTAGTGCGTTTCAGTACACAGCAACTCTAAAGCCTTTTTAACTGAAATACTCCGTGAAATATGTCTTCACAGAAACGAAAAATAACGAACGAACATCGAGTTTATAATGACCGTTGGGAATCAGAATATTTAATCTCAAACAATAATAATAAACTTCAGTGCCTTGTTTGTATGCAAGTACTATCGGTTCCTAAAGAATATAATATGGAACGACATTACACTACGTTACACGAGAAAACGTTTCGGCAATATTCAGGGGACTCGAGGCTGGCTATCATAACGGAATACAAGAAAAAACTAAAACAACAAACAAGTTTTTTCAAAAAATCTGACTCTGATAACAAGTGCAGTATTGCCGCCTCTTACAAAATAGCGCTGGAAATTGCCAAAGCAAAAAAACCTTTTAGTGATGGAGTGCTTATCAAAAAGTGTGCAATAGAAATGGCGAAACAATTCAATGAATTAAAAGTTGCCAAAAAATTTGAAACAGTCTCAGTATCGCATCAAACAATTGCAGAACCATATCAATGAACATGTATCCAAAAAATTGCGTGACGTGGTTGAAAAATGTAAATATTTTTCGCCATGCCTGGATGAAAGCATTGATCTGTCTGACATTAGCCAGCTTGTAATTTTTATCCGAACTATTCAAGACGACTTCAGTGTAGCAGAGGAGATGCTTGACCTTATTCCTCTCCATGGTACAACCAAGGGTACAGATATTTTTGAAGCTGTGAATAAGTTGGTGTCAGACTACGGGGGATTTGATAAATGTTCCTGTATTGTCACTGATGGCGCCAGAGCTATGACAGGGACTGAAATTGGATTTGCAGGACTATTTAAACCAAACAGCATCAACTGTCCTATGATACATTGTATTGTTCACCAAGAGAGCTTATGTGGAAAATCTTTACGTCAAATAAATGTCTTGAAAGTGGCTGTTAAAATAACTAATATTGTTAGAGGGGGCAATCCTGCTTTGACTCACAGAAAGTTTCGTGATTTTTTGGCCGAAGTGGATGTTACATATGGGGACTTGTTACTTCACACCGATATTCGTTGGTTAAGCGCCGGAAAGTGTTTGCAACGATTTTTCGATCTACGCAAGGAAATTCCTATTTTCCTTAAAAATGAAGTGAAGTCCGACACTACGGAACTGGAAAATCAAATGGCAGATGCACAATTTTTAGCAGACCTTGCATTTTTAACAGACATGACATCTCACCTTAACGAATTGAAGTTGAAGCTACAAGGAAAACAGCAGAATATTGCCAACTTATTTGGACACATAAATGGGTTTAAGAATAAAATTCATTACAAAAAATTATTTTTCATTTTTTCCAAGTTGTAAAGAACATTTCGAATAAATGAAGGATTTTGAGGAAGTTTCATATTTACCTCATATAAAATACATTGACACAATTGCAGAAGAATTCAAAAATCGATTTAGTGACTTTAAAAAAATCGAAAGCGACATTTCAGTTTTCACTCAGCCACTAACAATTTCTGTTGAGAACGTAAGCAGAGCAGACCTTCAACTGTAATTGTGTGATTTGCAATCAGATCCTTTTTACCAAGGAAGAACTGAAACTGGCTTGGACTTTTTTAAGTTACTGCCAGGAGAACGATACCCCAACTTGCGAAACTTAGGACTTACAATGGGATCAATGATGGGAAGCACGTATCTTTGCGAAAGCAGCTTTTCCAACATGAAATTTATCAAGTCAAAGTATAGATGTTCCCTCTCTGATAAGTCACTTACTCAGTTACTTCGTTTATCAACAACAAATACTAATGTTAA